GCAAGGTTACAGTCTACACCCTCTCAGACAACCACAGATATTCACACAGCGCATTTGAGGAGATCATGGCAGTTTTAAACTGCATTTCTCATGATGGTCCAACTTGCACATCTATATTCAATGTTTGGATTTTATTTGATTTAAAAAAGGAAATAAAGCAGAGATAATTATAACAAAAATAATAATCCTTGCATTTGATATAGTGCTTTTCACGTCTTCTAGATGTTGCAAAGTGCTTCACAGACTATACTGTAAAGCAAATTTACTGTATATTTTGTGGGCGAAACGCCGCAGCCAATTTGGCACAGCAGTGTCCCACAAACAGTTGTGGGTTGAGTGACCAAATTATTATTGTTTTTTTTTTCTTGAGGGATTATTACCAGGCATGTGGAGTAAAGGAAACTTGCCCAAGGTTTTCCCCTGCTGGGAATCGAACCTAGATCTCTCACTTGCAAGGCAAGTGCTCTAACCACTGAGCTACAGGACTCCTAAATGATAAATACATTCAAAAATCTTACAAATGCACATCCAAGTCCAAAGTGCCTTTTATTCGAAAGACAAAATGAGTTGTGTTTAGTTCTTTCATTTCCCCTCCTCCCCTCCCCCCATTTGTTCTATACAATTGATGACACTCCAATGCAGTGATGGGGCTGTGCTGCATTGTTGTCAGTGCTGTCCTTTGGATGAGATGTTAAACCAAGTTCCCATCTGCATGCTCAGATTGACATTAAAGATGCCAAGGCAAGATTTGAAAAGAGAAGGGAATTTCTCTAGGCGTTCTGGCCAGCAATCCCCCAAATAAGATTGGTCCTTCCCTCCATTGCTGTTTGTGGGACATTGCTGTAAGCAATTTGGCTGCTGCATTCATCCACAAGACACACATTTACAATTTACTGTGAAGCACTTTGGGATGAAAGGCGCTATATTAAATGCAAGTTTTTTTTAAAATCTATTTTATCCCCGTATCCCTTACCGTGACTTATGGATTATAGCAGCCTGAAGACGCAGATTTGAACTACATTGATAAAAAGACAACACTGATGATACAAAGATTAAACCAAAGGCAAAGTACTGCTGATGCTGGAAATCTGGTATAAACACAGAAGTCGCTGGGAAAGTTATTGACCTGAAACATTACTTAATTTTCCTCTCTCTATGGATGCTGCCTGACCTGCTGTGTTTTTCCAGCTACTTGTGTGTTTATACAAAGATTAAAGTTGTTTTCAGGGGCCCCAGTGACCCTGATGTGTCCTGAATCTGTCTGGCATGGCCCTTCAAACACAGAATTCCTCCAGTGCAGCCACTAATCTAATTCCACCTCTGACCAAAGAAAACAGCAAAAGGTTTAATCTAACTGCTCCTCACACTTATTTTAATGTGCAGTTAGGAGCAGAATTCAATTCTAGATGGTAGTCAGTGATTTTAGAAAATGCTTAATTAGAACAAACTTTCAAAGTTGTTAAAAGAGTAATTTTCCATGCAATATTCAAACTGAGTTCCTTTTACTAATGAAAAAATCTTAATTTCAAAGAATAGCTCATTCCTGAGTTTCATGCCTATTGCAATGTACTTGTTAGTTCTCTTTTGCAACTTGGTGCTGTTCTGGTTAACCTCACAATAAACTGATACTTCAGACAATGTGCAAAACTAATTATTTTCTTTCATGTGTGGGAGAAAACCCTTTTACATCAAGACTAGCCTAACGAACCAATAACGGTTGAATGTTAGTAATCCTTGCATTTGAGATATATCATTTTAGCACATTGTTGAAACATCGCAAAGTGATACACAGGATTTACTCTAAAGAATGGTAAGTGTATTTGTAGATAGTCACAGCAACCAATTTGAGCACAGTAGTGTTACTCAAAAAGTATAAAGTGAATAATTAATTTATTTGGAGGATTCTTGGCCAGGACAGAGTGAAAAAACCCTTTCTCTTTAAATAAAATGTTACAGGATTTTTATTGTCTAACTTAACAAGCATATATGGACCTCATTCAAAATCTCAACAACAACAACAAGATTACATTTGTATAGTGCCTTTCATGCAGTACAAATTTAATATTTTGAATGCTACAGTATAAGAAAATAAGAAATAATGAAGATGCTCACTCTTGTCTTAAAATTCCTCCACTCCTCTGCACGCCCCTACCTCTCTGACCTCCTATCTCCTCACACAGAGCTCGTTGCCTTCACTCCACTGGGTCTGGCCTCCTCCTTGTCCCCCGAATCTTCCGTGTCTCCATCGGCGGCCGTGCCTTCAGCCACTACACCCTGAGGCTCACTCCCTTCGCCTCACCCCCTCTATTGCTGTTTTCAGGTCTTGGCTGACGAACCACGCCTTTGGTCACCTTCCTCTCCCTCCCCCTGGCTCGGCCCCGGGATCCGTTACTGTGAAGCGCTCTGAGACGCTGCCCGGCGTGGAGGGCGCTGTGGAAATCCAAGTTGTTGTTGTTGTTCTTAGGCTGAAGTAAATAATAAAATAATAATATTCCATGGATTTGATGCTGCACTTTTCACATCAAAAGGATGCCTCAAGATGCTTCACAGGGTTTATTATGAAGTGTAATGTGTTTGCAGGCAAATTCAACAGCCAATTTGCACATAGCAATTTCATATTCACGTTAAGTGAATGAACAATTTTATCAGTAGAATTACAGAGGGCAACAGAAGGGCAGATTTCAGCAAACCATTCATATGTGTCTAACTATATTAATACGAGATGCTAGCTGAAAGACCAATAGATGCTGTAAAAGGATACGTGTGTTGAATAGATTCTTCACATTAATCTTCACAAGTGAAGACTGGTCAGAAGGCCAGTCACTTTGGCTCACTGAATTATAGCATAAGAAGATTTGAGTAAACCAAATGGAGAAATCTGAAGAAATAAATCAGAGAAATACTTCTTGCCACTAAGTATAGCCTCGGCGATGTGGGTTTATAATGGAATTTCCTAATGCTTATGCCAAATATGCTGCACTTAGCACAGGAGGAATTTCAACCCCTAAATGTTTATAAGGCAATTGAGGCAGATTAGATGATCTTAAAAGCCTCAAGGATTACAAATGAAAAAAAAGATGAGGCCTTGGTGAATATTTTTTAAGACTGGAGAAAAGTCTTATACCAGTTTTCTAAAAGGAAAGAAATTACTCTGACACTCTCATTTGCTGGAGAAGGCCACTTGGCTAAATTACTATAGGGAAAAAGGGAAGAGCACATGAGGAGCAGCATATTTTCCTAGGGATAAATAGGGTAGAAAAATATGCAACTAATGGACTTCTCTCTTTGTGGAGACAAAACATCATGTACAGAATTAAAGAGAACTATTCACAAGTGATGGAAATAAATGGACGAAATAGATACAGCATCGAAAGTGCCTTATTCAATATTACTTTCTATCTAAGTGAAATTCCAACATGTCCAACCTAAATACTCACTTGCAAAATAAGATGGTGAGTATTTATTTTGATAGCAGAAATGTGCCACTTCATGTAGCCAAATTTAAAAGGTCGGTCAACAATCCATAAGGGTCTGCTAGGACAAAAACAGTAGTTCTTGCCATAACTGGATAGGATCTGGCAGAAGTGGCGTCTGATTTGCAACAACATCAACTTGCATTTATATAGAACCTTCATGTGGGGTAGTGTCTTGGAATACTTAACAGTGGCAGAGATTGATGCTGAGCTGAGGGAGGGAGGAGGTGATGGTAAGCATGGTCGAAGAGGAAGGTCTTCAGTCATGATCTGAAAAAGAAGAGGGGGCAAGGTGGAGGAATTGAGGGAGAGAGTTCCAAAGTTTCGGGACGTAATGGCTGGAAGCATGGGTGCCAATAGTGGAGCTGGGGAGATTGGCGAGGAGGGCATTGGAATAGTCAAAGCGGGAGGTGATGAAACCATGGACAAGGGTTTTGGCTGCATTGGGTGTGAGGTACAGTCGGAGGTGGGCAATGTGATAGAGATTTATGATATTTCCTAACTAGACTCATTCATAAGAAATCCTGTTGGAATACCTTTTCATCAATGTAAACTCTGCTCTGGGGTGCAGTTTCCACAGGTCAACATGACATAATTTTGGTTACTGGAAGGAATCCCAATTCGGATGATTCTAATTTCTTATTAAACAATCTTGTGGCGAAATATCGCATATTAGGCTCCACCCCAAGATGAGCATTATTAACTGCATTGTTATATATGTACAGAAATATATCCTATTGAGAAGTATGTTTAGCACTGTGTTGTAAAGGTAATTGTTTTATTTTGTTTCTTATATTTTGTGTGTTAGAAAGAATGTTTAATGTTTTGTGTAACTGACCACTTTCTATCTCCCTGCTAGTATGTGTTATCGGTGTTGGTGATAAGTGTAGTATTGTGAGGTTCCTTATATCACAAATACTGGTACTGTCAGCTGGATGGGAGAAATTGGATGTTGCTTTCAACATGTTACATCCAGAAAACGGATGTTGTTTTCAACATGTTACAATACCTGTAGGTAGAGTTTGTTCTCTTCTTTGAAGCACATCATTAAGTTTGCTAGAATTGTTTTCTGCACTTTCTGTAAGATGATTGAAAGCATGGCCAAAGAGGAAAGTCTTGAGAAGGACCTTGATCTAGGTGAGGGAGGGGGGGAGCTTCACTGGCTCCCATCCCCAAGAAGGGTCTTGAACTCACAAACTTTGGACTTTGAATCAAGCCAGGCTGACATCTGAATTGGTGTGAAACCAACTGAAACCAAGTGAAATTACTGGGTGATTTCTTTAGCCTTGTTTATTGTCACGTTTTACTATAGTAATAGGCCCTGATTCACAAGTATGCACAAAATAATGAGATCTTTGGCCTATAGCAGATTGTTTGAAAGTAATCCTCAAAAGTGTCAAGTAGGTGAATCCTGGTATTGATATCAACAGGGAATCTGAGGTGAACCAATATGTTTTTTAACGTTTGAATTGCATTTGCAGGGATGTATAGAGTGCCCTTATTCACTTCGGTATCTGCCTCTTTCAGGACGAAATACTGAAATACACCAGATGACTGGAAACTACATGTGGGATAAGAAAACAAACAAGTTGTTCCTGATTGGTGAGAATGAAGACAGTCTGCTACCTTTCTGGTGGAATGGATCGGAGCCATTTTGGGTTACCATGATGAAGAATAAGAGAAATGTTTACATGTATTACTGGCCAGGTCAGTACAGGGTAGCCCTTTTTGAATGTTTGGTTGAGCACGGGTTCACTTAGAGCATAGGTGTACTGTGCCAACTGTGTTTTCGGTGATGACTAGCACTTAAAAATGGCTAACATTTGGGTCATCAGATCATCATTTCCTGCATCTTGCATGCTTGTTTAATGCAAAGGAAGCGACTCTCATGTCACTTCCTGCACACTGGGCATTTTGGTTTATGCACAGGAAGTGTCTCTTATGACACTCTCTTAAAACCCCTTCTGAGAAAATATGTATTAATTTTTTTATAGAAACAGTCTTAAAGAAATCTCATCTATTATTGTGTTTATTTGAATTAGGTTGTAATGTTGAAATCCTGGGTGTGAGGCCTAATTACTGCCGAGATTACTATTATTATGTGTCAGATAAAAATTTTTCAATTGCCGCCTCGGAAGCCATTGATGTTTTGGGGTAAGTCCTACACAGAGTTGCATTTGTATATTCAAACTATACATTTCAAATTGTCCGGGAAAAGAGACAGCATTGTGCAGGCCAATAACAAATGTTATATGCGATATTTTAAACTATGCTATAGTTTCTCATTAGAATAGGGAGAAATTCCACATGTTTCTGCATGTTTCTCACCATTAAAAAAAACCCTTAACCTTAAATCTGCAAAATAAATTACACACAATTGCCTTTGTTTAAGTAAGCATACACACTAGAGCAGAATTGCTATTTTATATTGAGAAGATATCACAGATTTGCCTGAGGAGGGCACTAGTTATGTAAGTCTGACACTCATTAGGAAAGCTGAACTGATGTCTGAGAAAGACAACATAAAAGTTGCACAGCAAATGTGCTGGAACAGGCACTGGGGAGCCAAGAATTGTTAGTGTCCTTGCCTCCAGCATATCCAGGGAGCATTCAATGTGATAAGAATCCATTCTGTTGCTAATTAACCCAAATGAAAAATGAGTAATGGTAGAAATCTAAGAGATCAGTCATTAATTGGAAGAAACATATTCTCTATTCCAATGTTAAGCTAGGAAATTAGATTTGAACCCATTATATCCAACACTGAACACTAATACCATATTCACCATTTTTGTATTGGTCAGGTGGGTATCTGATACATGTGGAAACCCATCACTGTGCTCATAGGTATCCAAACCAGACTGAGAGTTTCACATATGTTTGCCACCTATATGTGGACACCCTTATTCACCGAAGTACTGAATGTCTTTTTGATACTCTGTCTCCCTGTAACAAAAATGGATGTTGAAACTCAGAGTTTAAGAAATTTGACTTTTTCATCTTTGACTGTTTCTGAACTTTCTTTCTCCATGTATTGAGCTGAGATTGATATGTGGGATAGGAAGAATGCTGATCCCTTCTCAGATAAATGGCTGATCTTGTATGCAAAAAATATATACCCTGTATAAATCAAATTGTATAATTATAAGACATAAATAGTAATCAGTAGAAATCATGAGGGAAATTGCATAAGTTCTTGGAAACATCTGTACATTATTTTGTGATGTTCTGACTTAAGATATCCATGCTTTCAGACTTAGGTAGCTTGGCTGAACCAGCCAAGATCAAATTTTGTCTGAATAAAATCTAAAACAGCTGTAGAAATACTGAACATTTTCAAAGTTGGAATATTCAACCGCAATTCATATATGGGTGTAATGGAAATTAAAGTCCTGGGTGGCACTGAGCCACACAGACCAAAGGATCCCAGATGTCACCCCACCCCCTCCTCAACCCCACTCCTTTGTCTGTGTTAATTTGCTTGATCTCACCTGGAGCAGCAGTCATTTGGCTTCAGCAATCCTAGGAAAGAGGGGGGACAATCAGCCAAGGTTTGTGCTCCTGATTGCTATCCAGAAACTCTGGCTGGAAATTGACTGTTTGATGAAGTTATTATTGGACTCAGTTGTGATGCTTCTATTCGTGTAAGAATAGCCACTGATGTTTACTGTCTAGGTTGGGATGTTGGAAATCAGCCACTTCAAGGAGTTGCTATAGCAGTCTATAAACATGGAGCTGTACCTCAGCATGATCTATTACCCTGAAGAAAGGGGAGTCAAAATTATACAGAAACTCAGATTGTTTTCCTTTACCCAATTTATGGTCAGCTGGGCTTTTTTTTCTTAGGTCAGCTGGGTTTCAGACACAGGCGGAAACCCATCACCGTGCTAAAGAATATCCAAGAATATAGACTGCGAGTTCCATGTATGCCACCTAGACGTGGAAATTTCCATGTCTGGAGTGGAATGCACACTCTTTCCATGTCTACAGTGGACAATTAGAGGAGGAGCAGGGATGGCACTGGCATTCCTGGCATCCCACCAATGGCAGGGGTGGGTGGGTGGGTGGGGGTGCGTCACCACAGGGCAAGGTGCTAAAGTACATTGGCACCAGGTACACAACTGTTTGCTTCTTGAACATGCCATAGAAGCAACCCTACCTTTGGCAGCAAGGAGACAACTTAAACTCTACATAATTCAAGTAACATTGCAAAACTTACTAGTCTTATTCATGTTTGACCTTAGTGGAAAAGTACAAATCAATTTGTTTCATATGTGTTTTTTTAAATGGTGTAGATAGAAGAGTTAATCTATAAGTACATACTGGCTCAAGTCAATGTATAAATGTGCATGTTAACTCAAGGGAATCCTTTGGTATGACCGACTTGTAATAAAATGCTTTTGGAAATTTGGAATGAAATACATGAATTAATTTGAAACGGACTGTATACCAGAGCAGCTTGTGCGCACACAGCAGTGCACACACTCCCCCCCCACCCCCCACACACACCACACACACCAGCGCACACATACACCCACCCACACATACACCCACACACGCCACATACACCAAATCGCATATACACATACCACACACACACGTTCTATTTCTGTGAAATCTACAACTAAGCCAATGCACCACACTTGTGTTGATTCCCTTCATGCCAAAGTTTTGTGGAAATCATTAAATATTCATGTCAAATTCCAAGAAAGTGCACAAGTTTGCACATTTCACAGTTCCCACGAGAAACTGGGGGGGTGGTTACATTTGAAATAGAACTGTTTTTTCCCATTGTGTAGTTAAATATAATTTTATAGTGTACGTTGGTAAAATAAATGTGTTTTATCCCCAACTCAATCAGAACTGAGCCACATTCAGAGAGCACTGATGCTCGGGTGCTGTTAATTAACACAATTTAATAACAGCAGAAAGCATTATTACCTCTATAATATAAAACTTCTGGGCTATATGAAATGACTGCAACCTTGTTTACAGATGTACAGTATCAGTGTAAAGGTTGTGGAATCCCTGAAGTCAGTTCTTCAGAAACTAAGTCAATGTTTTACTGTACAGATAATTTTAGTTATTTAAATGTTCCTCTCCATAAATGACTATGTCTTGCTTGCTCACTCGCTCCCTCTCTGCTGCTTTCAAAATCCGTCTGAAAACCTATATTCTTGACAGTGACTTTGACATCCTCCCCCTCCAATCTCACACTCTGATCGAGCTTCCACCTCACCTTCGTAAAATACTTTGAGACATTGTCCTACGTGAAAGGTGTTGTAATAATTGATGGCTTTTGTGTTGTTGTGAACTGGATAAAAATAAAACCAGCCATGAAATAAAGCCAGCAATTTAAATCTTGCATTTGATGTAGCACTTTTCATGTCACGAGGATGTCTCAAAGTGCTTCACAGTATTTTACAGTGAAGAGTAATGACTGTATATTTTCTAGGTGAACGAAAGTCAGTATGTTCTTAATTAATGGTTAACATTCTCCCACCGGACATCCTGGAAGGATAATAATAATAACCCTTGCATTTGATATAGCGCCTTACAATGTCTTTGAGACGACTCAAAGCGCTTCACAGAATATACTGTATATTTTGTGGGCAAAATGCGGCAGCCAATTGCGCACAGCAGTGTCCCACAAATAGGATTAAAGTGACCAATTTATTATTATTGTTTTGGATGGGGGAAGGAAGGGGAGAAAACAGCCCTCTTGACACAAGCGAATGAGCTTCATTTTATTTTTAACCAAATTGGATATATTTACTAACATTTTCTAACATGAATACAACAGTAATTGACATTTAACCCAGAAGCATAATTTCTGTTTCATTTTTTAGGGGAAGCTTTGCCGTTAAATTCCAAAGGAGTGAGTTCTGATTTGCAGATCCGCTGTTTCCACTTTGGCCCCATTGACCTCAACACAGAAATCATGTGTTTGGCCTCTGCTTTTGCCAAGTGTGTCATTCCAATAGAAATTAAGTAGTTTTGATTGCCCTGGTTCAATGCTAGAGAATGGGAAACAGATTTTTTTTCCTTTAAGAAAAACATGTTGCAGACGAAGCAGGGCCAGCATGAGGACAGACTGCAGAGTGACATTCCTTGTGATGATCCCCCCAAAATAAACTGGAATAATGTTTTTATAAGATGTCTATTTTACTTTTGTGCATTGTGTTGTCTTATATGACAACATTAGACAGTATTTAATGTTGGATTTTGACTGTGGAGCTCTCTTTATCTCACTCACATATGTGGACTTATACACACATAACCATGCACCCTTACGCACACACAGGTGCTCACAGATATGTACACACATACACAAATATGTGTAGGTGGCATGCATATATGGAACTCTCAGTCTGGTTTAGATAATCTGAGTATGGTGATGTAGTATATATTAAGTATGGTGATGGGTTTCTGCAAGTATCAAACACTTGGCTGACCAAAGAAAGCCCCGCACACAAACATATGCACCCCTTACATTTATACATACAAATAAGCAGAAAACAATAGGAGTCTGTGTGACGCTCATTAAATTACATGAGAACATTTATTCTATATTTATATGTCTAGCTTAGGTAAAACTGTAATTTCATACACCAGCTTTCCTTATTTTTGTACCTGGCCAATGCCTGTTACAAACTGACACAACAACCCATCAGAAATGCTTTTTCGTGCACCCCAAAAATGTTCCCCCCCAAAAAATCTTCAAGCTGAAAAGGTTTATCAAACTTTTTTTGCACTAAGTAATGTTACAATTTAAAAAAAAGCCAAATTTTAAAATATTACATTGTCTTTCTTCTCTTCAAAACATTTCTACTGTTTATTAAACAATTAACATTTTTCTAAGCAGACAGGGAAAAGCAAACCTGGCAGCAGTGTATTATGAGCGAGTGGATGTTGAAGGCCATTCCTTTGGTCCCTGGTCAGAGCAAAGGAAGAATGCCACAAGAGCATTGGATAAGATGTTGCAAGAGATGAACTTGAAATTGAAGGTTAGAAATGTACAAGTAACAACATTAATTCCTAGAAATACAGGTTATCAGAGCACAACATCTCAACAAGGGTTACCTATCTCTCTTTAAGATCCTGTCAGTAATATGCTGCTCAATTTGTCAGCAGGAATTGCACCTTTGATAATATTCACCAATCTATCTGACAGTACAAACCTCACCACAGAATCTCACGAGAAGGTCTAACATTACAAAATTCCCCTTGAAAATAATTGGGCCATTCATTGTTCTTTCGAAGAATTTCCAGGAGACTATTGGGATGTGCTGAAAAAAGCACCTCTGAGTGGGTTCAATCCCATGTCGGAAAGTGGAAAACTCATATAATTTAGGGGGTCCACTGCTGGGGTGTGCTGTATTTTTAGAGATGCTGTCCTTCAGATGAAACTTTAACTGAGGTCTTGTCTGCCTGTTTAGGTGATCGTTAAAGATCCCATGGCACTATTCATAAAGTGAAGAGAGTCTCTTCTGGTATCCTGGCCAATAATCCTGGATAAAATTAGACATTCACTTCATGGCTGTTTGTGGTACATTGCTGTGTGCTAATTGATCACTGCGCTTGTCCACAAAATGTACAGTCTAATATTTTGCATAAATATATAGTTACTTTTATAGTAAATCATGCAAGTTACTTTCAGACATTCTCTTGTGCATGCAGGGCAAAATGTTGGGCAAGTTTCCTTACTCCACATGCCTCTGTTTACCTAGTAGTAAGTAGGAACCCGGTTGTTAGTCGATTGGTGGATCGCTTTTCCGGGGATAATAATCCCTAAAAAAAAAAATTTGATCACTCAATCCACGACTGTTTGTGGGATACTGCTGTGTGGAATTGGCTGCCACATTTCGCCCACAAATACACAGTCAATTCACCTTACAGTATATTCTGTGAAGCGCTTTGAGACGCCTGGAAGCCGTGAAAAGCGCTATATCAAATGTAAGGATTATCAGATGTCAAATGTAAGGATTATTAGTTTTTCTTTTTCCACATCAGCTTTATCCTTTCCTGGTTCTCCCCTGAAACACTTGATTCCTCTTTTGTTTGTACAGAGATACAATTCCACACGGGCTAGTTGTCCAGTGGGACCCTATGTAAATTGTCATTTTTCAAAATCAGTGTCAGTAGGTAGATTTTTAATTGCAGGGGGTACATCAACAATTTGCACTCAATATATGGTTTTTCAAGTAGGAGAATGTATACAAAACACACTATAAGGGAATGATCAGGACTGAGATTGTCATTCTGATTTCATCCAGGATGCCAAGACCAATTGTAACATCCCATACTGTCTCCCCACTTGGGACCAGCTAAATCAGTAAGAGAGTGGGGATCAAGACTGTGATCTTCCCTGTCTGCATGGCTCAACTATTTACTTTTAAATTCACTGAGCCATCGGGGAGACTGCATGCAGGAGGTGTGAAATGCTGGGCATGGGAATGTGTAGCAACACAATGGCAAGTAAATCTCTGCCTGTAGCAACACAGAAATGTGCGGAGAGCTTTAACACTCAACAATCTTAAACCATCTGAAATGTTTATACCCATGAATGTCCAGCAGGAGGCATAGATAAAGCAGATTCAGATAGCATTTTCCTCCTAAGAATAATCCAGCTTCTTCCTGAGTACTATCTTCCAGCAGAGAACTGTCTAAAGTACAAGAGGTCTTAGAGTATCCTAAAGTGTATTTAAACATTTAAGAGACATTTGAGCAGTTTCTTGGAAAGTTGCATTACACCAGAATAAGGAGATGCTGTTTTGTTTTACGACTCTGGCAAAACTAAATCATGTTGCAAATAGAAATATAAAAAGCTTGAATTTCACATTAGGTGGATCAGCATCTTAAAGAAAGATAGATTAACGCTACAGGTATGAAACTTTGTTAAGTTGTTGTGCTCTGATAACCTATATATCTAGGATTTGTTGTTGTTACTTTAGGTTTTCAGCGTACATATATTTTTTTAATCTCAAAGCCATTATGCTGTGTCCTATTTATTTGCCCTTGAGCATAGTCTAGCCTTTTGTGAACTACTGTAATAGTGAAAATAATGAAATTACCAATAAATTATTGAATACCCTGACAAATTAAATACTGCGCAGCCCTTTTATAACATGCATTTTTATAGTGAGAGTTTGGTCATGACAAAGGTGCACTGCAGACCCCAGTCGTTGCGCATGTGCACAGTTCGCTGCTCGCTTCCCATGTGTCATACAAAATGGCTAATGTTTGTCACTTTGTCACTTACAACAACAACAAATTACAATTGTACAGCACCTTTCACGTTGGGAGGATGTCCCAAGGCGTTGAACTCTTTGCACAAACAGTAAGTGACTTCAGGGGCGAATTGATGAGCCAGAAGGGGGCTATTTTAAATTTCTGCCTAAAAAATAAGCCAACTTCTTGGTACACCATTGACATCATCATGGTCAGTGTAATGACATTTTATTTTTTCTTCAGAAGATGTGTTGCATGTGTCTGCAGTTCAGTCTTTCATATATGTTGGCAGGACTCAGTTAACACTCCTATTCATTTTGGAATGTATTTTCAGCCACATAAAATAAACTATGAATTTAGTACTAGAAAATTGATTATGGTAAAGCAACAATAAATATGGAGTGCACAGTGAGAGTCGAGGAGACCTCAACTGCCTTGCAATATGGGAGGAGGCAAGGTGAGAGGGCACAGGCTATACAGAAAATATTCTCAATTGTACTCTTTAAAGTATTTTGAAGTAACATTCTGCAAGTAAACATGTTGTTCCATTATAACCTTTTCTCACCCATACTGAGAATTAAAACAAACATACTTTTTACTCCATGGTAGGAGCAGGGACTCCAAAATGAACTAAATGTCATGATTTTTTCGGACCATGGAATGACTGACATTTCTTGGAGAGACCAGGTCATTGAACTCGATAAATATATCAACATGTCAGATGTTTTGAAGTCTATGGACCGAGGTGCTTTAATGAGCATTTGGCCAAAAGATGGAAAACTGAATGAGGTAAGTAATAAGGAAACTAGCGGGAAAACCCTGATGGTATAGTGGAGAAGCTACAGGTTAGACAGGAGCTTGCTGGTTTGTACCCCTGAGTTTGCTGGTCTCAGCTGGAACTGCATAGGGAGGCTGAATTGGTTCCTGTTCATGATGCCTCTACAGCACCCTCTACTCGTTGTGTATGTGGCAGTCCAGCACAGAGAAGCCAGGCTCAGGGTTGATGCCATCTACAGTTGAGTGGCATGCTAACATTCACTGCCATTGGTCACACATGGACAATAACCACTTGGGAATAACCACAATAACCACTTTGAATCCATGACTGTTTGTGGGACATTGCTGTGTGCAATTGGCTGCCGCGTTCGCCCACAGTCAATTCACTCTACAGTATATTCTGTGAAGCGCTTTGGGACGTCTAGAAGACGGGAAAAGCGCTATATCAAATGCAAGGATTATTATATTATTATTATTATTATTGGGAGGGAAACTAGAAGGGAACCATCATGGAACCATGTTCCAATAAGAGAGGTCCATTGCCAGAGCAGAGAGGCAGATGCTCTAGGGATAAAATAAGAAAATAATTGGACATGCTAAATTTTTTAAAAACATAAATAATAAAGTACTACTGACTATGACTGTAAATGCGTTCTAAGGTTGGCTCCTGTGTCAAAAAGGCTATTGCCAAAATTATTTTAGAAAATGTTGCATCTGGTGATAATAACTCTGGACACACAACAGTGTGGACATGGCTTTATGATTTGTGAAGACCAAGGCAGGAGAACCTGGGCAATGGTGGACTAGACCCTATATGTTTAGGGTGTGATAGTTATTGCACTATCCTTTGATCTCACCAGCTGTACAGGATTCTGAAAACTGTGCAGAGGCTGAAGGTGTACAAGAAAGATGAAATCCCAGAACGGTTCCATTACAAAAATGGCAAATTTGTATCTCCGCTTATCCTTCTTGCTGACCAAGGGTGGTTCATTATTGAGGTAAGATAATGCATTCAACATTACTCTTATTTTTACCATGTGAATGATCAGATTAGCTAATAGCAATTTGCGTGCTGGGTTTCTGATATTTACATTGCAGATCATTGCCTCCATATAAGGAGACCTTGTGTTTTCTAAATCTTAGTTCATCTTATGTTTGGGGACAGACCTGCTGTTGGTCGCAGTTTTAAAAGGATAAAAAAGAAAAAAAAGAACTTGCAGTTTCATAGCACCTTATCACGATCAATTATCTCGAGCTCGACAGTAATTACTAGCCAACAATACTTCAGATTCCATTGGTTATTAATTTTATGGCTGTTTGTGTGATATGGCTGTGTGCAAATTGGCTGGCATGTTCACCTACAAAATACACAATTATAACACTTTACAATAAAATCCTTTGACATGTTTCGACGGTGTGATTAGGCACTGTATCAAATTATTTATTACTTTATCATTACTGTGAAATGCGGTGACTTTTTAGAATCATAGAAATTTACAGTGCAGAAGGAGACCATTAGGCCCATTGAGCAAACTTTTTGTCAGCCAATGAGGTAGCCATTTTGCACATAATAAGATTCCAGACAACCGTGGTGTGACTGACCAATTTTTTCAGGAGGATTGTTGGCCAGGAACCACACACAACAACAACAACAAAACTACATTTGTAAAGTGCCTTTCATGTCGGGAGGTTGCCTCAAGGCGCTGAACATTCGGGGATCAGGACCCGAGCATGGGGGACAGGGTTGGGGTGAGGGAGGGCAGAGAGGGTAGGTGGGCGGCTGAAGGCATGGTCGAAAAGAAGGGTCATGAGTTGTGCCTTGAAGGAGGCAAGGGACAGAGCGAGGCGAAGAGATTGTGGGATGCAGTTCCAGAGGATGGGGGCACAGAGGCTGAAAGCCCAGCTGCCGATGGTAGGGCGGGTCGGGCAGGAGACATGGAGCAGGCCGGAGTCTGCTGAATGGAGGGAATGGACAGGCTGATAGGGGGTCAGCAGGTCAGGGAGGTAGGAGGGGGCAAGGCCATGGAGGGCCTTAAAAGTGAGGACAATGATTTTGAATTCTATTCTCTGAGGGATAGGGAGCCAGTGGTGAGGGTGGGGGTGATGTGGTCACAGAGCCTGGTGCAGGAGACGACACATTCAATGACAAACCTGGAGCCACACAGACTAGATTGTTTGACTAGGTAAGGTTTAAACTAGCTCATGTATGAAACATGATGATATCCCACTCACAGGAATACATGGAGGAAAAGCCAGTTGGAAACGGAAAATGGTAGCGGATCCTCCATGCACAGGACATTCATGAAGCAGAAACTTCTCTTATCACCTGAGTAAGATAATCTAGGTGCCAAACAAGCTAATCATTGGCCATTCCCTAGAATATGTTAGTTAAAGGAAAATCCAAGCATTTTGGCAAAGTATTCAATTATAGGGTTAATTCTTTTGACTTCCTAATTGATACTTGGACCTGAGGCTAAGAAAGTCCTGAAGTTATACCAACACAATTGTTGTGCAGATGGTAAAACCAAACTAAAACAGACGTTTTTTACCCTGTTATCAGCAGCTGATAACATTGCGCATTCAGTTTCTTGAGAGAATTATCAGCAAGAGTAAGTAGCCCTGCTAGCTTCCTCACACAATAATAATAATCCTTGCAATAATCTTTGTCCAATGTTTCGCCCTGCCCGGGAATTGAACCCAGGTCCTCTTGCTTGTGAGGCAAGTGTTCTAACTACTAAGCTACAAAACTCCACAATGAAAGTGTGTGAGTGAGGAATTTAAGTAGATAACATAACAAGCTATGATTTCTAAGGCATAATACAGTTTTAATTAGATGTTTTTAGACGGCCTCAAGTTTGATGTAAGATTCCTCCTGGGTTGTGATTTACTCCAGTAATGTAATATTTCAGAGCGTCCAGAATTTGGCAAATTGTTGAATTCAATCTGAACTTTGAAGTTGTTCTTTGGTAAATCTTAAAAGAAATGACAGAAAACTGGCTTGAAAAATCAGGCTGTATTGAAGAATTTGCCAAATTCTGGATGCTTTGAAATCTACGTTAATAGAGAAAATGTAGAACAAGGTGAATTTTACCTGTGCAATGTTTTTGGTGCAGCAGATATTTGATGCTGCTATTATGTTGTGGATCCTGTGGTATGAACTGTGATGCTTTTCCATTCATGGACTTTGCATCTGGGCGTCGGAATGGATCAGCCACTTGTGACATAAGGAACATATTGCAATGTTATTGTGTAGCTGGTTTGATGACGTCAGATGTACTTACCATTTTAAGCTGCTTGCTGCTTCCGAAATAACATCAGCAGAGGCCCGAAGATGTGCCTGAATGTAAGGTGACTTTGCTCTTGGCCAGTTCCTGGGTCCTCTAGCATTACTTCATGAGAGACAATCAAGAAAATAATCTTAGTAAAAAAAATGTTGTGTGTGCGTGTGTGAATCCCCTGACATCATTGCATCAACTGTACAATGCCATCCCTTCTGCTTCCTTTCACTCCAGCTCTATTGTGTGTCTGCCAGGCTCAGTTGGTAGCACTCTCATAGTCTGAGTCAGAAGGTTGTGGGTTCAAACCCCATGTCGGTACTTGGAATTCATATTGTCTAAACTGACCGTCTGATGCAGTGCTGGGGGTGTGTTACATTGTTGGAGATGCTGTCCTTCAGATTAACATTAAACTGAGGCTCTTTACTTATAAGGTAAACATGTATCAATTCAGACAGCGAAACTGTGACATGCAAAGCAATAATTATCACTTTAGTGATATTAATACATTATCAGAAATTCTGCCTCTGCCGATGTTTCAGTTCCTTTTTCAGAAAGGTTGGTCCAAAGCTTTCTGTGGCGATTGTATGCACCTCCCCACCGATTGTCAGACTGCAGTGTCAGTTTGCAGAATAGTGCAACATCCGCTCCCCCATTTTAAGAGGAAGGATACTGTGAAGGCCAAGGGCTGGCTGGGTCCTATGTAACAGACTCTGATTTTGCAGACAAATATAATTTTTTCAGTAAGTTCTGCCTCTCATTGATAATATGAGCAGAATCTATTCAGAAGCATGAACAAAACGCATGAAGTGTCCAACCCAAAATGTTCCCTCTATTTCTTTTTTAGATGCCAATTGCTCTGTTCTGCTTTTTCTGGTTTTATTTCAGATTTCCAGCATGTGCACTTTTTCTCCTCTTTTTATCTCTATTTCAGGAGCTGCTGGTTTGACGCCAGGACCTGAATACCTGACTAGGCAGCATTTCTGCCAATATAAATACAGTAGAGGCTGGCTACTGTCAGTCATTCATGTGGTGTGTGTGTGTTTGTTTAAGTGTGCATTCAAGGTCCTCGCCCTGACGTATAAATCCCTTCATGCCCTCGCACCCCCCTGTCTCTCTGATCTTCATGTACCCCACTTCTTGCTCATTCCTCTCTACTCAGCTAACGCAGGCCAACTGCACATCCCTCACCTCAAGTACACATTCCCTGTCCCCTCCACCCCCGCTTTGGTGGTCGAGCTTTCAGTCACTATGCCCCCTAACCCCTGGAACACCCTATCCCTTCATCTATCTCTAAATCCCGCCTTAAAACCTACCTCTTCGACTGTGCCCAGGGTTACCTCCCCTTCTCCCTTACTTGGTGTCCAATCCCACCACTATGATGCGCTCTGAGGCTTTATTCTCCATGAAGGGTCACTAATATAAATAGAAATTATTGTGTGCACCCACAATTTGATAGATAACATCTTAATGAGCGAGTGAACCATCTTTGCAGTTTTTGCCCATGTGATGATTATTACTGGTGGTAAGTATCATATCCACACCACACTTACTGACGATTCGCTAGCTGTTAAGAGTCACAGGAATGCTATTTTCCCCCCTTGCTAGAACAGGAGCAAGCTGCCATACTGGGACAATGGAACAGGGACTAAAGATGCCTGGCAGAATGGATGGCATGGTTTTGACAATGAATTCAGGGACATGAGGGGATTCTTTATTGCTTACGGACCAGGTAACCATAGATAGAATTATTTCATTTCTGACTTGATCCTGATAGCGATAAGAGATTTTTTTTTTACAGTGGGGTAAGATAGGATATTTGTAACAGAGACTGTGGTGTTTTAAGGCATGACCTATGTCAGTGTAAAGATCACTAGGTCACATGCCCCAGAAAGTGGTCTCTTCTTTTCAGATTTGCAGGTAAGATGAGCATTAGACAAGCTGGGCTTCAAGCTTTGGGTCAAATTAACCTGGGGAAATAATAATAATAATAACCAATTTTAAACAAACAAAATAAGTCAGAAGCTTCTCTAAGAGCAAGAATTTGGTCAACCACCCTATCCCACCGCCCCACCCATTTATTATTGTTATTTGAGACATCCTCCCATTGTGAAAGTTGCTATATAAATATAAAATTGTTGCTGGTGATTTTCACCTCACCACTTAGAGAAATTGAATTTAGCAGCAATTCGGGTCTGGGAGGAAGAGACCAATTCAAAGGAGAGGGTGCCCGGCCATCTAGTTTCATATGCAAATATAAAGCTCCATCTTCCTATAAAGAAGAGGGACTGGAGAAGGGGATACAGGCTGTTTAATTTTGGTTAAAGACAATCTGTGATGCAGACTATGCCAGAGGATGGGGATGCTTTGAATTGTTGCATCTTCTAGCATGCTGGACAGAGAAGCATTGGGAGGATGATATTTTCCTCCCCAAAACATTATTTTATGTATAATTTTACAGTGGGTTATATGAGAATTGACTACAGAGATTGGAATCCAGGATCCCTAGGGTTAAAACATTTGGTTGTAATCATGCTAACCAAATAATTTTTCAGTTTGCCTAAACCATAGTACGTTATCTATGAGATTTTCAAAGATCTCTTTCATGTAAAATTTGTCACCAGTTCAGGAAACTTGCATTTCCTTGTTCTTTGCATTCAAAACACGGGTGCCATTTGTGTGTGTACAAACTTCTTTGATGACCGAACACTTATGTGATTAGCCATAGAAGTCACGACTTTAAAAACATTGCTCTTCATCCAGATAGTTTTGAAGCTAATTCTGTTTTTGCACTTTTTAGATTTCAGAAGGAACTACAGGGCAGCCCCGATCCGAGCAGTTGACTTGTACAATGTCATGTGCCATGTTGCTGGAATTGACCCATTGCCAAACAATGGCTCCTGGTCCAGGGTGGAGTGCATGTTGGACAATAATGCCAACAAGGCACATAGTACCAAAGTCAGCAGCAATGTATTGGCATTCACACTGCTCTGGTTGTTCTTTCAATCAAATTAGAACTTTTTTTAAAATTTCATTTTCACTGTGATTTTTAGTAAAAAAAATACACTTGTTAATATTTTCGATGTAAGATTTGCAGTATGATTCTATGTACAAATGGTATTGTGTTACACAATAAAATGTGGCTAAATCTTCACCAAATCTTTGTTCTGCTATGTATTTGTAACCTACAGGAATATATTTTTAATACCCTGAATTTCTTTGTATTGATTGCCTTCAATAAGACCAAAATTCAAATACAGTATATTAAAGAGTAACTAATCTGATTAGAGCCATTCATTCCAAACTTATCAAGATGGTCTGTTTTGTTTGGTTGTATACCTGAAAATAAATGATTACTGTTCAATTTGTGTAATGAATTAAGAATAATCCTTGCTTGTACTTTTGCTATTTGTTTTGCCTTAACAAAGTTAGTTCGATCTATATCCTGTTTAAAACACAGGCCTTACAAACAAAAAAAAGCTATTCAGCCCACCAAGTCCTTCCACACTCCCCAGACAATCTGTGCTTTTATGGATTTTTCACAACCTGTTTAACATGCTGAGGAAAGATCCATCACCATTTCTTCCTCAGCCTCAAATTCAGTCAAGTGAACTTCCAGCACATCTATCCATCCCCATGTCACAACAGCTCTGGCTGCTTAGTTTTCATAGACAGGATTTCTTTGGTCCCAGCAGAGCAGAATTAATTGTGTTCCACAGAGATTATCCCTATCCAAAACCAATAACGTTCAATCCCATTCCTAATCAGTCATATTTTAACTCATTTTACAGAAAATGGTGAATCTAGGGATCAGAATGCTGAGGGTGATGTATTATCAACTCCAGGAGCAAACATTTTAGCACTTGAGTGTTGCTTAACAGGAACCCTCTCCCATCCCACTCCACACATCAGCACACCAGTTGGGTCTGAAGATTTACGTGTTCCATTCCTCTCCCAATCATGGATGTTAACTCTCATAATATCAATAAAATTCAGTCAACTATCTTTATGGTTTTATAAAACACACTGCTCATGGCATTAATCTACACTTGTTATTATTTAATAAATAGTAATAATCATTGTATTTGATATAACACTTTTCACGTTGTGAGTACATCACAAATTGCTTTACAGGATTTACTGTAAAGTGTAGTGACTATGTATTTGTAAGTGAATGCGGCAGCCAATTTGTGCACAGCAATACCTTAAAATCAATTACAACAGCCATGAAGTAAACCATCTATTTTATCTGGAGGATTTTTGGGCAGGACACTGAGAGAAACTCCCTTCTCTTTTCGAATAGTGGAATGGGATCTTTAACATCCACCTGAACAGGCAGGTGGGGCCTTGGTTTTGTGTCTTTTCTGAAGGACCTAAAGTATTTCTAAAAAGAGGAGACTATAGAACAACATCTTTACTGATTGTATAATATTTAGTATGAAATTACATGTCGGTAGTAAAGTAGTATGTTGATGATTGCAATTTCAGTGTAAAATTGTAACAAATAATCAAATTAAAATCTGTGAAGATTTATTAGATGATAAATTACAATATTTGTCAATATCCAGCTTTGGAAAAGAATTATAAGCACAGAATTATTAATACGGATGGATTGAAGGTTGAATACTGATAAATTGTACCCTGATAGTCATTAGTTAAGAACATGTTAAACTGTCACATATAGACCAGTGGTTGATTCATATTAATTCCTCTATTATACTTTTTATCACTGTACAAAAGTATCAGTAATTACATACTAGATAAACATGGGAGGAAATGCATTGGAATAAAATTGCCTTAAGCTAATCAGTACAATCCACTGCATTTCTACTTTTCTTAAAAACTCCATGAAAAATCATTCATTTGCACAAACTTGAAAGAAATAATGAGCTGGAGATCGACTGGATGATAAACCTAAGCAAATGGCACTTGAAACTTTCGACAATAATTTCTCAAATTACTAATCTAAATAATAAAACCTTGTTAAGATCAAAATATTCTTCCTGGCAAAATGTTCTGTTGGCTAACAAAGTTGTTAAAATTTACAACAGCGAAACTCCCTTTTTCCACTCATAGATCAGTTGATTCCAGACCAGCATTGCTGAATGAATACACCACCTTGCCAGACTTCTCCGTATATTTGCTTTGTTCATGTGAAGCCAAAGCCGCTGTAAGGAAGTCTTGACTTGAGGTCTCTTGTGAATTGTTTGCATCCTTGCTTTGTTTATCTTTCAAGAACAGAGTCTCCTGTTGGAATTACAAAGCACAGAGACAACATTTACCACATCAATAGAGATTAGATCTTATAAAGTTCAATTAAACAGAAGAATTGATGACAAAGGATATTCTTTAGTTCCACTAGTAAAGTTCATTTTGGCCTGGAATCTATTGTAATTTAAATATATACTTTGGAAGATTTTCTGAATACCTGATAATTGTAGGTGCCAGGGTTTTGAATATTAAAGTAATCCTTTTCCTCAGCAATGGCATTTTCATCAAGGGAGTTCAAACTGCATTTCAGAAGGTATGCACAGTTAATTTCAGCGACACAATGAACAGTTTTTTTGAAGATATGGGTTTCAATTTTGAATTTCAAATGAGTTAGACTACATACCTTTTCTGATCCAAATAAACCTCATCATTAGCACAGGAAGTGGCTGCACTGAGAAGATTTTTATTCCAAACTGGATTGGAGCTGAAGCAAAATATACAGAAAAAAACTCTTCTTATTAAATCCAGTAACAGCTGAAGACTGAACAGGATTCCAGCTACAGCATAATTCCTTCTTGTCTGCACCAACAATAATGTGAAGTAAGTCCAAACTATGAGGAGCACTGGACACTCTACCAGTGTACAACTCTCCTTCCTTCACATAGCATATAACAATAATCCTTGCATTTGATATAGTGCCTTATGACATCATTGAGACCTCTCAAAGCACTTCACAGAATATATTGTAAAATGGATTGTCTCTGAATTTTGTGGGTGAAATGTGGCAGTCAATTGCGCACAGTCAGTCGTGGATTGAATTAAAGCAATCTGCCAATCGACTAACCAACTGGGTTCCTACTTACTGCTAGGTAAACAGGCACATGGAGTAAGAAAATTTGCCTAAGGTTTTGCCCCGCCCAGAAATCAAACATGGGTCCTCTCACTTGCAAGGAGAACCCATTAACTCTACAGGACTCCAATATAGCAATGTCACTTTATAGTTTACTGTTCAGTGCAGTAATTGTTTATATGTGGGTGAATGGGGCAGCCAATTTGCACACGACAAGATCCCACACACAGCTCGAAGATTAATGGCAGATTTATTTTTGTAGGATTATTATTATAATATATATAATAATATTTATAATTATTATGCAGACTCTCTTGTCTTTTCAAATAGTGCAGCAATGCAAATTTCCCATCTTGGAGTAAGTTTGGCAATTTGTTTTAGTAGAAATGTATTTCAGTCACTTGATAGTTTTGGCTTTCAGCATAAGAGCAATCAAAATTCAATGATTTGTCCATGGAAAACCTAGGATGGTGGGGAGAAGAAAGACAACTGAAAGTTTGGTCGAAGAGCTAGGTCATGAGATGAACCTTGAACGAGTGAGGAAGAGAGCGAGTAGGAGGATAATAATAATCCTTGCATTTGATATAGCACCTTATCACGTCTTCGAGATGTTTCAAAGCGCTTCACAGATTATACACTATAAAGTATATTTTATGGGTAAAACGCAGCAGCCAATTTTGCATGGTAGGGTCCCACAAACAACAAAAACAGCAACACGATTACATTTGAATAGCGCCTTTCACGTCGGGAGGATGTTCCAAGGCGCTAGACAGTGTACAGCATTTCAGACCCGAACTGGGGTCAGGCGGGGGAGAAGGGAGGTGGCTGATGGCATGATCGAAGAGGAGGGTCTTGAGGCGGGACTTGAAGGAGGCGAAGGAGGTGGAGTGACTGGGGCATGGATTTCCAGAGGTTGGGGCAGAGTGGCTGAAGGCTCTCCTGCCAATGGTGGGGTGGTGGGTCGGGGGACGTGGAGTAGGCCAGAGCCGGCTGAGCGGAGGGAATGGGTGGGCTGGTAGGGGGTTGCAGTGGTAGGGTGGGGCCATGGAGGACTTTGTAGGTGAGGACCAGGATCTTGAACTGGATCCTCTGAAGGATAGGGAGCCAATGGAGTTGGGCGAGAATGAGGGAGACGGGGTCACAGAGTTTGGTGCGGGAGAGGACAACGGCTGCAGAGTTCTGGATTATCTGCATCCTGCGGAGGGAGGAGTTAGGAAGGCTGACAAGCAGGGCGTTTGCATAGTCGAGCCTGGAGGTGATGAAGGCATGAACAAGAGTTTCAGCGGCCTGAGGGGTGAGGTAGTGGCGGAGTCGGACGATGTTACGGAAGTAAGGGAAGGCAGAGCGGGTCATGGCTTGGATTTGGGGAAGAAGATAGTTGAGGGTCGAACAAGACACTTAGGTTCCTGACTGGCTTGGTGAGTTGAAGTATGCAACCATGGAGGTTGATGTTGCCAGAGCCTGAGGTGCTGAGGCACTGGCGTGAGCCAATCAGGACAATCTTGGTCTTGTTCACATTCAACTGTAGGAAATTTGCCTTCATCCAGTCATAGATTGAGATGGCTAAATTATTTCAAACTTGAGCAAGTTTCTTGAAGCCCCAATGTGGACTTCCAATGAATGGTTCTGTAAGTTTAAAGGTCTTCAGCAAGGTGTGCGCAGATGCCCAAAATGGTTTGAAGTCACTTCACTTAATGTAATTACTGTAAATCATTTTGGAATGTTTTGACCTTATAGACACTATATCAAATGCAAGGATTATTATTGTTGTAAATATGACGAAGGAGAATTTCACACTTGTGTAGTGACTAATGGTGTGAGTTTGGATTTAAAGTGTTTTGTGATGTAACAATAATAATCCTTACATTTGATATAGAGTCTTTCAAGTCAGGAGGATGTCTCAAAATCCTTCACAGAATTGACTGTAAAATGTAATGACCTGTGCAGTTTGCAGGTGAACGCAGTAGCCAATTTGTGCACAGCAATATCCCCCAACACTCATGAAGCAAATTAACAATTTTATTTGGGGGATTGTTGGTCAAGACAGTGTGAGAAATTCCCTTCTCTTTTCAAATAATACTGTGGGATGTTTAACCTCCACCTGAACAGACAAAAACTGTGTTTTCAGCAGGGAATCCTGCAGTCATCACACCGACTCGCAAGATTTTGTCTAAGAAACTGCCTCGGAACCAAAGTCATACAGTGTGATGTATGGGGAATCCTAGCTGAAAATGCTGTTAGCATCTTAAAGCGCCTTTTCCACATATCATTAATATTATCGCTTTAAAATGGATCGGTTTTCCAATCC